CACGTTATACTGTGTGGAAAATTCTTTCACTTACATACAATGTTGAGAGAAAAGTGGTAAATCATGAAGTTCTGCAAGAAGAAATGCATTCAAAATATCAAAATGCAAACAAATTATGGTCCCAACAGACATAATCTTGAAGTTGGCTTGCTGTAATTTGTTTGCATTTTTAGTATACTCTCCCTATCTCAAAGTTGAAGAGACGCTAAAAAAATTTCGAGATAACAAGTTCAGAACTAAATGTGTTCTAAAAACTAGAAATATATATCCTAAAATATATTTGTATTGATAGTTGATTATAAGTCTAAATACAACAATGATAATTTTATTTTTAAAAGTAAGACAAAAATAATTGTGTATTAAATCGAAAAGAATTGGCGTACAATAAATTTACATTGTGATTTTTCCAACAAAAAAAATCTTTTTCTATTTTGAAAAAAAAATTTGACATAACAAGATTTTAAAAAGAAACTCTTTGACACAGGAATTATAATTAACATTAGGAAAATATATAATGTCATGGGTTTTTTTTTTTTTTGAGATATTGAGAGTATACTGTATTTTGAATACATATTTTTTTTGTTGCCAGAATTTGAAACTTTATTATTTACTCTAGATTTTCCAGAACTCCCTTTTCTCTGAACTTGAAAACTCCAATTAGAACTTGCCATGAAAAATTTCCCACCTTTATACCTTCTTAATATTATGCACTCTCTGAAACACTCGTGGTTTCCATTAGAATTCTTCTCTTTTGAATAAGGCAAACTCTGTAATAATTTCATTGACCAAATTTTAATTTTATTTTATCTAAATAGTAAATAAAATTAAATAAAGAAAAAAATTTGAACGTTTTTTCCGATTAAGTTTCATATTCCTGACCTATATTGACAATTTGTGTGTTATTGATTGTTGTTTAAGTAAATTGAAGATCTAAATAAAAGGAATGTGTGTAAAAGTAAAAGCTGTGTACATTGTCTCCAATGTAATTTGATTTTGTAATAGAATTATTTATTTTTAAAGTATGTTATTGCAGTAAGCAAAATAAAGATTTGTGTGTCTACATACCGAATTTCAATTCCGTATAGTATTTATCTAACTGTAACCAAAATAATGTTTCAACATGCAAAGTGTCATATTTTTAGGCGTAATTTTCCCCGCTGAATTTGAAATATCTATGTTCCCCCTTTTTTAATTTATATGTTTATGTTTCAAACATAACCAAATTAAAAAATTTCTCCTGTTCTGGAGAAAATAACTTCCAAAAATGGGGCAATATCTATAANAAATTTTAGTCAATTTAGAAATATTCAACGTAATCCAGGCATGAGACTCTTCCTACATTAGGACCTTCCTTTTGTTCTGAAGAAAATAACTTCCCTAGAACAAAAGAACTTTCAGAATTTTTATTTATTGTCTTATAATTTCTAAACCTACAAGGCTAATAAAGTTTAAAAAATCAACAAGTTTCAAAGATGATTGAAAAAATTTTAAGTATAATTACCCAAAATATTTATTTGAATGTAAATTTTAGTCAATTTAGAAATATTCAATGTAATCCAGGCATGAGACTTCCTACATTAGGACCTTCCTTTTGTTCTGGAGAAAATAACTTCCCTAGAACTTTCAGAATTTTTATTGATTGTCTTATAATTTCTAAACCTATAATTCTTCTAATAAAGTTTCAAAAATCAACAAGTTTAAGAGATGATTGAAAGTTCTTAAAATTTAATTACACAAAATATTTATTTTACGGTAAATTTTAGTGAATTCAGAAATATTCAACATAATCCAGGCATGAGACTCTTCCTACATTAGGCAAAATTTCAAACTTTCTAAACTTTAGAGGAATAATTAATGTATATTAAGGCATTATTTTGTTGTTTTATTTTATTATATTCTGTTTAATAATGATTTATGTATGAAGCTTAACAGTTTGTTGGACTGTCAATGTACTTATCCAATTAATTCTAAATAAGTGTGTAAATAATTGAAATGTTTTTTTTATTATTTTCTACATTATTTTGTTGTTTTATTTTATTGTATTCTCTTATTATTTTACATTTTCTGTATTATTTTGGTGTTTTATTTTATTATATTCTCTTATTATTTTGCTGCATTATTTTGTTGTGTTATTTTATTATATTCTCTTTAATCATCCTTTATGTATAAATCTTAACAGTTTGTTGTTGGACTGCCAATGTACACATCCAATTAATTCTAAATAAGTATGTAAATAATTGAAATGTTTTCTTTTTGTACAAAAAAGTTTCACACACTTTTTTATTTATTTATATTTTCATGATTTGTGTTGATTGGACTTTTTGATTTTTTTTGTAGTCTCATGTCTGATAATCAAACCAACTTTTCGTTCATAAAACCACAGATCTTGATTTAGGCACATTACAAGGTTCACTTTTCAGACAAACTACTAGTCTATATGTTCCTTTTGATTATTTATATTAAAGAAAAGTTTTACTTTTAAACATCTTTAAAAAATTTTAACACTATTTAATATACAATACACTAACACATGCATCAGTCAATGAAGAATATAATGTTAGGAAGGTTATAGACAGTATCAGACTGTTTATTGCCATCATTATCTCTCTTCATCAAAGATAAATCCGAAGTCGTTATGGAGAAATCTTCAGGCGAAGGCATTGGCCCACATTGGGCTGTCTGGCCAACTATGATGATGATCTCTCTACATGCTTTATAATTTTTATTTCACTAAAACATTCTGATAAAAGTCGTAATTTACTTCTAGTAAGCTTACTATTGGATTTGAGGAGAAGTTTTTAAACTCACTTAAACAGGGTGCGTAGCGTTTGTAAAAAGTACTTAAAGGTGCTTTTTTGGGGATTTCGTTTTTAAAAGCTTTTAAAGGTGCTTTTTTCAGCTGGTGTTTTTAAAAAGTGCTTTTTTTCCACAAATAATTTTTTTTTCTTCAGTGATATCTGGTGAATCCCATGCATTTCACGTAAAATGGGGTGTTTGCTACGTAATCCTTCACGCGGACTTCATGTCGTACCCACACATTATGACTTGCGCATGCGCGTACACTTAAAACCGAAACCCGAGTGCTCCAATTCGGATAGAGAATATCAGATCCTTATGAAATGTTTTTCTTTTTAATTTAATTTAATTTTATTCTTGTTTATTTTATTTTACTTCTAACACTTTTTAGACGTAGGGGGTAAGGGTACTTTTGTTCTGAGTTCAGGGTCAAGTTGAATTCACTCGGTGATGTGGGAAAGTACTGATTGTTTTGATTTACGTCCGTTTCTTTTGGGTTTTTTTTTAACGCTAAAACTCGTTATTTTTCAATAATATTATTGAGCGAATATGAATTTTTTGAGTGCTTGAAAATTTTTGTAAAGTGCTTGAAAAGTTTTTAAAAAGTGCTTATTTTTGATTCAAAGATTTGGCTACGCACCCTGTTAAATCTACAACTTGAATAAGTTTAAAGCCTATTTCATTTTTATATAAAATCAATTATAAAAAAATTAGTTATATAAAATAAAACAAAATTACTAAAAAAAACTCATTTGCACTTCAAAATTTATCTCGCTAGCCTGTTTGTATAAAACACGTGTTAAATGAATTTTTTTTTATCAATAAATGCATGATTAAATCATTATTTTGGTTATGTTTCCTTGAAGGTGATGAAGTAATGTAAATTGTGTTGTGGCTCCAAAGTTAGAAAATGTTTGACAAGTATCATTTATGATGGTTTTTACCAAGGACAAAACTGTTGCATCGAAAATCCTGTGTCAAAAACCTAAAAAATTGCAATTGAGTATTGATATAAACATTATTATTTATATTTTTAACAAGCAGAAGATATTCTATTAATACAAAAGAAACTTTTAACATACCAATAATTATTTACGACATCATTCCCTTGCAAGGTAATATGAAATTTTAAGTTAAAAAATGTAAAAAGTCTAAAAAAAATGAAAATTATATTTTACAGGGTTGCCACAGGTGACTAAAATGCGACTATTTTCGACCCGAGACGACTAAGGCAACTTATCTTTTTTTTTGCCTTAAAAGGCTAAAAAAGCAACTATTTTTAGGAAAAATAGACTATTGGGTGACTTTTCTGTGCTTCTAGATATGTTTTTTTTAGCCTAAATTGGGTTTACAACCTGCGGCTTCTGAACACAATAAGTTTTTTTTTTCTTTTCTTAAAAAGTAAAAAATGTTGAATTGCAAATTTGTGACCTCACTTTTTAATGTGCTCAATTCGCACAGATTCCATTGTTAGTCTATTTTGTTTCTCGGTCCCCTTCTCAACGGTTATTGCTACGAAATTCTGCATGATTTTAAAAACCTAATTTTTAATATGATATTACGATGCGGGAATTTTGAATTTGAATAATCACTTTTCACAATATATATGTATATGTGTGTTAAATTAATTATTGGTTAAACTGAAATTTTTTTAGAAAAATTTGTTTTTATTTAATGAAAAAAATATTTTTTTGAAGCAATTCTAGTAATTAAAAGTATTTTATTTTCTGCAAACATACTAATTTTTTGATATAAAAATTTAGTGCTAGAACACTTACGTTTACATAAAAATTATCATATTTGTCACCAACTTGGACTAAATGGGATCATCATATATGACAATTAAGCCATTTAATAAAATTTTAGTCATATTTTTGTTCTTATTTAGGCAACTATTTTCATGCTTTAGGCTACTAAAAGCAACTATTTTGCTAATTTTTTTCTGTGGCAACCCTGTATTTATCAAAACAAATAACACGCTTAAAATAAAATTTTAATGATTATAGGAGTGTGATTATTTCACAAAACTGATTATTACAAATGACATAAATTAATAGAATCTCTTATTTTTCTTGTTGACAGCAACTTAACTTCAATTTGTTTGCTGACCTTTTGGTCAATGATTTGATGCTCTTCAATGATTTATTTGCGTTACATATTGTGAAGATGTGTTGTAAGGTTGTTAAATGTAGATGTTTTTGCAGGCTTTCAAGCGACGAGAGTGACAGTGAAGGAACTATTTATACTTTCAGCAGAGCTGACACTGTTGCTCTTCGTGGCGAACAGACGAGCGAAGTGGAGTGTGACAGAGAAAAAATAGGCCGAGGTAAGGAGCCATTTGGTATAGTAACACAGGATGCTAAGAAAGTATCTGGCAAAATTTTAAATAGGGGTACGAAAGAAATACTTTTTGCCGTAGAACTTGTGTCCGAAATGACCCATGCAAGTAGATAGTGCAGGTGATGACTGTCATTTTGAAGTAAGAGCATCATTTGTGAGGTAGAATCAATATTCCCAAGATTAAAAAAGCCCAAAACCAGTTCTTAGCAGCAGCTGTAACTTGACAGGTTTTTATGTCGCCTGTGTGCAATGGAATTTTTTGCAGTTAAGTAATTGAATTATACTGATGTAGGAAATTAAGAGGATTTGCAGACTTGATCGATTATCTCTAGAACTACTGGACCGATTTTAATGAAATTTGATACATACATACATTGATACAATACAAAACAAATAACCATTCAACAATTGTAATACACACACGCGATCGTGCGTAAAACTCGTTGGAGTAGGAAGCCATAGGACAATCCAGGCCAATTACGACAGGAAAACATAAACTGCCTCATTTCAAGTATGAAATTACACTGCAAGGCCTGTATGTCTGTAAGAGGGTACCTTACCCCTATTAACCCATTTTTTTTTTTAATTCTGCAACCGCTGTTCCATACCTTCCGACTCCAACGAGTATTACGCGCGATCATGCATGCGTATTACAATTGTTGAATGGTTATTTGTTTTGTATTGTATCAATGTAGGTAGGTACATATCAAATTTCATTAAAATCAGTCCAGTAGTTCTAGAGATAATCGACCAAGTCTGCAAATTCTCTTACTTTCTTACAACACTGTATAATTCAGGAAATATAGTTATTTTATTTAAAATGTTTTTGCTATTCAAAAGAGTTTAATCACTAATTTTTCATTAATAACCTCTGAAACAAACGGTGTGTTTATTGTAAGAGCTGTAGAAATTTTGGAATTTAGTTACAAAAAGTTGCCAACAGATGGCATTACTACTGATTACCAAAGTGATCAGTTCTAGTATCAAAACCTGAAAGAAGGTTGTATCGGATTAGAGGTTTAAAACCTGTTTTCTGTTGAACATTGTTTTTTTAGTCATGGAATATTAAAGGTTATAGTCCTACAGCATTGGTATCTTTTTCAAGAACTCACTACAGTGCCATCTGTTGGTAACAGTTGTAACTAAATTCCAAAATTTCTGCACAAAATTTTTTCAACTTCCACAATAGACATATCATTAGTTTATTTCCTCTGTCAGTCAGCTCTCTGCTAAACACCCTTTACTTAAAAGTAAAATAAATAGATGAATAAAAGGTCACTGCATTACTTATTGGTTTAAGTAATTGTACTTGCTATGTTATTATTTCTTTCTATACTTTTTGTGTATTATTAAGTTTAAAAAGTTTTCATGATTATTATTTTTAACAACAAAAAAAAAAGAAAAAATTCTTTACAAGCATTAAAATAAAAGATTAAAATAAAAACCTTATAGTTATGAATTCAATGTAAGCTAATTATGTCTTAACTAGGTACATTAAAAAATATTTAAAAAACTGCAAAATATTTAGTGCTTTATTTAAAAAAATATATATAGTATTTATAAAAAATTAACACTAATTCATTTCTTTTGTATTTATTTTGAACATTAGAAAACAAACATATTTATCGTATTTAAAAAAATATCAAAATATTTAGTGCTATTTTTAAAATACTGAACTTAAAATAATAAAAAAAATTCATTTCTCTTGTATTTATTATGAACATTAGAAATATAAACAAGATGATTAAATTATTCTTTGATGAAAATATTAAATACCAATATTGTATTTTTTATTTTATTTTCTCGTTACCTTTTGTAATTTCCTTAATTTAAAACAAAAATATCAGCGATCAAAATGTTTACAATTTTAATTAAATTACCCAAAAATGTTAATTTAATACAAATATATTTTGAGCTAAATCCTTTTATATATATATTTATGAATTTGAAAATGCAGGGTTTGACTGGAATAAAAAAAATACCATTTAAGAATGTATGTTATGATTAATATATAATTAAAAATGACTTTATTTAAATTTGATCAAAATTAAGTGAATTTTTTAATTTCTAATTTAAGATTTAAATAAGTTATATTATACTAATTTGCTAAATTTATACAGTAAAAATAAAAATAGGAAGACAAGTTTTTCATTCTAATCAATTGCTGAAGAAAGTTCATCGAACAAATTTAATAAAAATAAATTAAAGTTTATCTCTACATGAAATAAAGCATAGTAACAGATATTCTTTATCCTAAGACAGATGTCGCTGAAGGTTGTGAGGCCTTCTTCTCTGAGAGGTATTGGCTGTAAGTGAGCCAAAGAGAGCTGGTTGGGTGATAAAAAATATCTTGCCATTCATGAACAGACGGGAATGACTTACTTTGGTAACAGATACACCTTTGAGGACTGTTATCAACCAAGAATGAAATCCACATTAAAACCATACCAAGTTGTAGTGATCCCTAATATTTTATTTTATAACCGTCGTTGAACAGCCGACCCAATTTTTTGAGTTTCCGACTACTAACGTTCAACTCCTTAGCCTTGTAATTTTGAACCCAATCCAGAAAACAAGGGAACTCCTGGATCAAGTATTGGGAGAAATCTACCTTAATGGAGGACTTTCTGATGGAACTTACCCGCATTTTGCGTTAAATGGGGAGGGAAACCACGAGAACCTCCCCCGATTAGCCTGATGGTGAGGGGACTCTAACCCATGATCTGTCTACTACTGAGGATATTATTTGTTAGCAATGTGATCGGTGCGGAATTTGTATCAACCATCCATTGCTGGGATTATAACCTTTTTCAAACATCTTGCAGTTGACAGATTAACACTAGATTGCCCAAGGAAGTCATTTTGACCTGCTTTTTAATTTCAATTAGAAAAACAATAACGACGCAATTTTTTAAAAAATTTGTGACTTCTTGTACAACATATAATTTTTTTTATTGTTAATATTTACTAATAGCTTGTTATATAACTGTAAATAATATTAAAAATTAATTATAAAATTTCTTTACACTTTAGTTATTCTTTTACAATTCAGTCATTTCGACTGCTTTTGGGCAATATAGGTATTTTAGTCTTTGTAGTGTTAAAGCCGTAGAAAGAAAACAAGTTCATGATAACTATAGTTCTATAACAGCCTGAGGTAAAATAATTTTTACATAGTTACTTTTAAACCATTTCAAATCTTTAAAACAGATTTCTTTCATTAGATGAAAGGTTAAATAAAAATATATATAATTCTTGCCTCCTTTTACTGTGCAGGTTTTCCACGTCGACCCCCTCAACGGTCTCAAGTGAAATCGGACATTATTGATTGCTGACAAAACGCTCCCTCCACATTGGAGAGAGAAAAGAAGGGAGACCGTCCGGCGAACTCCTTCCGTAGGCCACACACCCTGATGTGGGTTTTTATAGGTGCAGTGGCATGGAAATCCAGTAGCTTAAACCACCTATTCTGTTACTGTGTGAAAACAAATACATCTATTCTGTTGTAATTAAATTTATATTATTAAAGTTTTACAGAAAATTTCCTCTTTTTTTTGAATTCCAATGTATATAAACATTATTAGTTTCACTGAAAAATCTGATGTGTTCCATACAGTTAAATGTATCATAGAAGATGCCGTGCATTTAAACTATCTATTGGTGATCGAAATGGGCTACAAGTGGCGTAGAGCAGAACTCTCTTCCTATGGCAACACTTAGCGTGTGGAGAGCCATAGAAGAAGGAAGTAGGATAGTTTCTGTCCTTATTTCCATATAAATTAAAATCTTTTAAGGTAGGAAATTGTATGTAACTGAAAATTACATTAAACATATTTCTAAAAGAAAGCATCATGGAAATTTTAAAAAATATTGACTTTTTGATGGAACTAACCCACATTTGCATTACATGGTGAGGAAAACCTCCCACGGTTAGCTTGACAGCAAAGGGACTATAACCCATGATTCTTCTACCTTTGAGGATATTTTAAATCACCACTGTGGTCAGTTCAAGCCCGATGCGGAATTATTATCAACCAGCCACCACTGGGATTCAAACCCAGTTCACCTCATTGGAAGGTGAGCGCTCTATCCTCTGAGCTACCACTTTTTTCACACATTTAGAAAAATTGGTGTCCAGTTTGAAGAAATAGAAAATAACGTTCCCGGACATTGTCTGTCTGTGATCTGGTTATGGCAGTGTCCGCTTTGCGAATTCATAGAAGATTCATGGGGAATTAAAAATAAGTCCTTAATGTGAAAGGCGCCCATTTTGAGTTTATAAGTGTTTGTAAGCTATTGAAACTTACAATGTTTTCAGATACAAAGCTCCAGTTAAGATAGTCTGAAATCATTTAAAAGAGTTAATTAATCTGTATTTAAATTGATGTTATTTCATTCAAAATTCTCATATTTAGACAGACATTGATTAAATATACTAATTACATTAGAAAATTCATTAAAACTTTTATTGGAATATTTTAACTGTACATAAAAATATTTACAATAAACACATAATACAAGTTCTTTTATCCTTTACTTAACAGTATGGAAAATCCAAAGACAAACATTTGAATGGATATACAGTGTTGAAACATAAATAGTGTTTCGACATTCGTAAGGTTCTTCTTTAAAGAACTCAAACCATAGTATGCCCTTTTTTGTGCTATTATTTGTTCTTTATTAACATTGTTAAGCTTTATACAAACGCTATTTGGCTGATAAAGAGACAGCTTTAGCACAAGACAGAAATACTAAAGACAGTTACAATTTATATTTTTGTTTCAAAAACCCATTGAATTTATTTATACTTTTAGCTATTGCAAAAGACAAAAATAATCTACAGTAATTTTTTGTATCAAATTACAAATTATTAGTTTTAATAAATTAACTTTGCAGTACATATTGCAATCAATGTAAAACATAAAAATATTTAAAAAAAAAAATTCTGGGTCAAGATTTTTGGAATTTTACATTTAGATTAATGTAAATAGTAAAAAAGTTAACAAGATTAGAAGGAGTAAAGAAATTGTAACTGATTTTTTAGAGAGGGGGAGAAGTGTTTAGAATTAAAATTATTGCTATTGTTTGAAAAAAACATTGATAAAAATCAAAACATGAGTAAACAATTTCTAAACTTTGATTTTTATAACAAAAAGTTAAGACGGCCATTGAAAGTTTTGTCATCAGATAGCGATTTTGTAACTTTAAATAATCTCAAAATATTCACACATGAGCATAGTTAAAAAACTATACAAAATATTGATTTTTGCAATACTATTGCAAGCCAGTTTAATAATTCTCATTTCATGACTAAAGAGAGAAATTGAATTCCATGCCAAATGAAACCAGTAGTAGAATTCCAAGTGTAACAGAGGGGAAATCACACAGGTATTTTATCATAAAAAATGTATTAAATATTTGTGAAAACAAAAAATGGTGCAATAATATGCTACTTTAAGGTGCAATGTTTAATTAAATAGCATATTTCCTTGTAACTATTTATCAAATTTGCAAAATGTCCCCTCTGTTACATTGCATGTATTGAAGTTAATAAAAATGTGTAAGCAATTTAAAAAGTCTTATGATAATTTATTTTACCTTGAAATGTGATAATTAAAAAAAAAATTACAAATAATGTTTAGGATGTTCCAAATCACAGATTATAGTGGAAATAACAGTGCATGTCAAAAATGTGGAATTCTCTTTGTCCCCTCTGTTACGGACGCTTTTAATAACCTGGCAATTAAATTATGAGGCTCTTTTATTATTTTATGCAATTAAATTGAACATTGCATCTTAAAGTAGCATATTATTGCATAATTTTTCTTTTTCACATATATTTAATGCGTTTTTTAGGACCTGTGTGATTTCCTCTCTGTTACGCTTGGAATTCTACAGAAAAAAATTTCAAAAAGTAATTTCTTGGGAGTCATTAATAAAACAATCATAAGGATTTATGGGAATCACCGACAGGGCAGTGTAGGGGTCCTTGCATTGAAAAGGTTCTAGGTACCAATCCCTTGCAAAGTATAGATGTTCTTTAATTCTCTGTACTATCTGTCCTTACTGTGGGAGCAACGTTGGCCCATCTAATATAGTGCCCCTGAAAGAGTAACCAACATATCTGCCCTGAATTGACAAAATATTAAAACATTTGGGAATTGGAAATTTAAAAAAAATTAGAAAAGAGAAGAGTGATTTTGAATTTCTCTTACATTACTAAATTTGCATAATTTTACATTTGCATAACTTTAAATTGCCCTCACCTGATAGAGAAATTTAAGACTATCTAATGGTTAGATGAATATAATTTGTATCTGATAAGTTTTTCAGACAATTTTACAACAATATAAAAAATAAAAATAACTTTTTTTTCTTCCTAACCTGACCTAAAGCTCAAGCTTTCTTACTTAAAATAATTGTTTTGTAATAACATAAAAATAAATTACCTTTGCAAACTTCATTTTAGGGATTGCTATTAAAACCTCAGCTGAGAATTAAAAGAAGTACAAATCAAAATATGAAAGAAAATTCAATCGTTTGCTAAAACTAAATGTGAAAAATTTACGAAGCTCATTTAATCTAGTCAATTTTCAAAAGTTATTTTCTAAGCTTTCATTGAACAATATTTACATCAACATACAAAATAATAATAAATAAACTTAATCGAACAATACTCTTGTATACATGTTGAATAAATTCATTAATAAATAGTCATAGAATTTTTGAAATAGCACAGAAGAAAAAAATAAATGGACACTCAATTTTTCAAATGAGAGTTCAAAAAATGCTTATTTTCCAGTCATTTTTTTATTGGTAAAATATTTGATACTTAGTGTCATAGAGCAGTAAGTGTAAAAATATGCTATTTGGAATAAGAACACTATAAATAGCATAAAATGAGAGATTTATAGGACGCAATTCTAGAAACCACAATTCTCTATAAACTGCATTAACTTTGGCAATTTCCAAAGCAAAACAAAATTGATTAATTAGTTTGATTTTACAGGGTATCTGCTACATTTTAGATTTTCAAACCCATGACTTTCATGAATAATTCCAAGAATTTTTCATGACTTACCGAAGTATTATTTTCTATTTTAAGTATTATTTTCGAAGCGTTCATACTATTTTTTCCAACAAAAACACAACAATAAATTTAAAAAAAGCATTATAACAACATGAACTGAAATGATAGGTATAACCAAAGCTGTTATACTCTGGATCTTCATATTTATTGATTTTAAACTTAAAAAACAGAGTAAAAAAAGATTTGAAGCAATAAAATAGCTGAAAAAAATACAAAAGCAAATAACTAAATGCAGTCAGATATATGTAGTTATTAAAACCTTTTTTTATTTCTTCTTAAAAGTAAGTGTGATATAAAAAGCCTAAGCTAGAATTTTAAGTTGATAAAATGAAAAATATAAATAAAATAAAAAATCTGAAATTACAGAAGCTTAAAAGATAATTTGCTCTACAAATGATGTTCTTTCTGTCAAACACTGAAAGAACACCATAATTTTTAAAGAACAGGGTAAATTTATATTTTAATAAACTATGAGTGGGGATTTTGTTACTAATTCAGATATTCGGAACACTGCGAAACTGGGAGAGGTGGGGAGAATTTCATTTTAAAATTTAGATTTTTAATGTTTTTTTTTTTTTTTAAATAGCTAAAATCATGTTATTTCATAAAAAGTTTTGTTAACTACTGAAATCCATGATTTTTCATGACTTTCCAGGTGTGCAGATACCCTGATTTTATTTCTAATGCCAATGATAATTTTAAAAAAAATTGTAAAAAACAAAGACTTGGGTGCATATTTTTGTTTTAAATAATTTTTATTTAAGAATTATTTTGCAACAATAATAGTGATCTGCTCCTGATGTATTCTGCCACATTCAGTCGGTAAGTTTAACAATGTGTGAACATAACACAAAGCTTCACGTCTCAATGCTTGTGCTATTAAGATAATCTCTCGAATTAAAATAAATAAAATAACGCAACCCAACATCCTTTCTCCCTTCAGTAACAAAAAGAACAAGCTTGTTGGGAAAGCAAACAGATTCTATTCGTACTCCTTATCTGGAGTTAAAGAATAAAATATAACAGAGAATTGAAATAAAAAATCTTCTATGGCTACCACTTCCCTCTCTTAGACCAGTCTTTGGGTGTCCAGTGCAGTGATTGTGAATCAATGCGTATGGGTCTCTTTTCGTACGCCCTCTGATATGCATCCAATACTTCTTTGGTGAGAGTTATTATATATTGTCCTTTGTAATAATGTATTAGATTCAGGTACTGTAGTGTTGATATCACGTCTTCCTTCTTTATACTTGTCTGTTCAGATATTTCTCTGTAAAGGATGTAAAATTTAGGGACTTATAATTCTAATAGAGTGGTAAAATTTTGCACTCTCCTAAGTGGTAGTGAAATAGGAATATAATTGACAATTGTGGGGAAAATTGTATAAAATCTTGCCAGCAGAATTTCAAATGGTTAAGTGAGATCTTTTAAAAATAATTAGTTCTATGAAAAAGGGGTAAAAGTAATTTAAAATTACATTCATAAACCAAGACTGAATATGAAAACTTTAATTTTGATAACACTTTTGAAGGTGTTTTTCCACAAAAAAGTAGAAAACTATTTGTGTGAATATATACTATAAGTATTCTAAAACACTGTATTATCCTTTTAAGGTTTTTGTGGAACTAGATTTAATAAGAATATGAAATATGATTGATAAATAAAAAGAGGCTTATGAATAAAATCAGGGATGAGAGTAGTCAGAAAGTAAAAAAGAGGAAATCCAAGAATGAATATATATATATATATACACAAAAATTTGACAAAAAGAGTGAGATCTTTAAACTTGTAAACCATGTGATTATAAATCCTGATGATTAATTTTAAAATTGTATGAATATATAAATATTAATCACATGCCTTATTTTTAAATTGAGACAATATGAATCCCGATATGAGGCTTTTAAATCACGTGAATATGAAACTCTATATAGAATTTTAAAGTATGCAGAAATACAAATCATGATGCGTAATTTTTAGAGCACGTAAACACGAATCACGATGCATAATTTTCAAACCGCGCAAATACAAATCACAATGTCTAATTTTTAAAACACGTTTAAGTACGAAAATCAATGTTTGATTTTACAACCGCAAAAACGTATCACGACATAGAATTCTAAGCTCGCATGAATACCAATCGCTACATAGGGTTTTAAAAAGCTAAATACAAATGACTTTATTGGATTGGATTTCGTATAAATACGAAAATCGATGTTTGATATTACAACAGCAAAAACGAGTCACGACATAAGATTTTAAGCTCGTGTGAATACGAATCGCTACATAGGGTTTTAAAAGAGCGTAAATACAAATCGCTATATTGGATTTTTAAATCTCGTAAATAAGAATCGCAATGTACGATATTTAAATCGCCTGAATAAGACTCGCAACGTCAACTTTTAAATCAGGCAAATACGAAAATCGATGTTTGATAATAAAATAGCGATTTTAAAAATGCATAAATGCAAAACGCGATATTGGATTTTTAAATCTCGTAACTAAGAATCATAATGTGCGATGTTTGAATAGCGTAAATAAGAATCGCATAGCGCAACTTTTAAATCAGGTAAATACGAAATCGATGATTGATATTAAAATCGCGAGAGACTGGACTTGGGATTTCTAAAAGGCTTGTTTGTATTGTTTTTGTTTAGACATAATAAATAAAAATTTACAAGGTTAAGTGAATGAGCAAATAACTATTTTCACCCCAAATCCACCTCTATTATTTTTTTATTATTATTTTTTTTGTTTGCTTTCACTTCAGACAACAGGGTCATGACGTCTGAATTGCAAAAATACGACCTATCCGGCGGACGAATAAAAATACGGAAAATCTCATTTTCTGTGAAGAGAAAATAGCTAAAATAAGTAAAAATACGGAAGGGTGGGTTAGCAGCTAGCATGTAGTTTGAGTTTTTTGTTTATCTTTGATAATCGTAAATAAATATGATTATTTTATTTTAACGATTGAATTTTAAAAAAAAGCGGGATATTTAATTTTTTTTTAAAAACGAAGAGAGTCCGAGTTTTTGATAAAAAGGCTGAAATTCGAAAGGCAAAAGCAAAAAATTCTCATCTCTGTATAAAGGTCAACCAGTTTTATCCCAAGGAAATGATTTTTTGAGAAACTTCAGAGGGAGGAATGAGGACTTCAATGCTTTTGCTTCGAGGAAAATTAAATTCCTCAAAAAATATTTTAACTTGTTCAAAAACATTTCCGCGGAAATTAGCGGGAAAAATCTAAAAAGAAGCGGAAATCCGCGAATCCGCGGAAGAATCTCATCCCTGATAAAATGCAACCTGAAAGAACTAAGTGTGACATCTGTTTTATAGTGTTTTCTTTTCCCTTATGCTATACGGAGCGCCCTCAAATATGCTGGTTAATTAACACAGACAATATATTAAATTAAATAATCAAACACAAAAATGTACTTTCGCTGAATAAATATTCCTTTTTAGAACAGATTTAAATTTTTGCTCCTCAAAATATGGGGGTAGCCGCAATCTGGGAAACATGGTCCTAAATGTTTAGTCCCTACAATGTTAATTTTAACATTTTGCGTGTTTTGGGATATCTTGAGAATTTTTTAAGTGAATCGAAAAAATTTTGCACCCAATTATAAAATTCATTTGATTTATCTAAAGATAATTTCTGACAAAAATAATTTTTTGATAATTATTTGTTATTTTACATAATAAGAGTTGAAAAAATTGAATTTTAAGAATTTTTTATATCATTTTAAAGAATGTAAATTTTATAAGACAAAATACAACGCTTGAACAAAATCACACGAAAGTTTCAGAGAAATTGAATCATAAAGAAATTGTATAGTTAAAATTTGATTTCTAAGGAACTATTGGATCAATTTTGTTCAAATGTTTTTTTTTAATCATAAAATTATATACTTTAAAATGGTGTACAAATTAGTATATGTTACAAATCAAAATTACACAATTACAGCTACATATTACAATTGCATAATTTTATAACATCAGTAATGCGGTAGGGCAATCTTAAACTATTATTCCCTTTATTATTACATTACACTTATAATTTGAGTCTTGTAAAATCGTTTATGTATAAATACTTTGATATTATAAAATAGGACAGGACTAAATACGTTTAAGTTTCCTTTTATTTAGTTAAATTTCAATACAAATAAATTTTATTAACTGAAGGAAAAAAAACGGTGCGAATTAATATGCATTACCTGAATGATAAATGGTAAAAAATAATTACATTTTTGCTTAGTTCTGATTGGATTTAATTTAGAAATAAATTACACAAAAACTCATTGCAACTCTACTGTTTTAAACTCAGCATGCAATCTAGTTAATAAATTCAACACCCATATAATTTAAGATGTATTTAAAACTGTTATTTCAATTCTAAAAACAATTTTTTGCAGATAATGCAGATCTAATTCCGGAAAACCCAAACCCAATTTGGTCAAATCTGTGACTAAAAATTTTTATAACTAAACAATATCTCCTTCAATATTCAATTTTTTATAAATGTTAATAATTTCAATCCTTTATTTATTATAAATTTTGAATTAACCACACAATATATTATTGTCTTTTGTAAATCTAACTTTCATGCCGATTCGAGGTAACAGACAAATCGAATGTGGTTCTGTAGTACTTCAGTAAGAGTGTGCCTTAAAAATACAGATTCTACTACCTTCTATTTACGCTTTGATTTAAAATTTTATAATCCAGAGGTGTCTAAGTTTTTTTGAGAGGTACCTATCTTGTGAAAATCTAGACATAATTTGTGAAAATTAAAAATTATATTAAAAAATCAACACAAAAATATGGTAAAGTAAGAAAATATTTTCAAAAGTTGTCACTACAAATAAAAATTATTTATGACTGGTAAATTCCTATATTTCTCTCTCCATATATTCAAAAATAATTTTGCTATTGTAAAATCTTGGGTTTAAAATGTATGTAAATTTAAAAATCCATAAAAATCATAGTCGATAGTTAAATTTCAACTTGAATTTAATATAAGCATGCATTTTGTAGAACTAGCACTAAAAGTTATTTTCATTTTCAACTAGGTCATACAAAAAAAAAGTTTCACAGAGAAAAAAAAATTCATAAAAAATGAAGGTCTGATATTAGTCAGAAAGAATTTACAATAGTGTTTAAGATAATGTTTGGATGTTTACAATAAGGTTCGAATTTTGACTTCCTGTAATGTTTATAGAGGGCTCGTCGATTCTATTTAAAACTCTCAGCGAAAAAAAAGCTCGCACATCGTAAGCGAAAAGTTAGGCTTACCACATTGCACATCTGGCCTTTTCGTAAAAAGCTCTTTTCCATAGATTGCAACGGGAACAGGTTTTGCATGAGAACTTGCTTTTCTAAAAGTATTTTGTGACACTACCGTTTTTCCTAAAATTGAATTTGTGAAGGTACCGCTAAACGGTAGTAAATTTACCCTGGACAGACCACTGTAATCTGCCATCTTAGTTGCAATAATATTTCCACCGGCCTGAGTAGGGGCGAGGGAGCTAGCCTTGCATAGAAAAGTTCTGGGTTCGAATCCCGGGCAAGGCATGGATGTCCTTTCATTCTTTATACTATCTGTTCTTACTGTGGGAGCAGCATTGGACCCACCTAATATGGTGCCTCTGAAAGAGTGGCCAACAAATCTGCCCTTCAGATGCCTGTATTACAAAAGGTCATTCTCTAGGTGGTTATTGGAAAAAAAAAGTTACGAAAATATTTTTACATCATTTTTGCAAGATGTTTGACTCTCGACTATTTCGTACTTTTCTAGAATTTTGTGATTTTTGCTTAATAATGTTTTATTTTCAAATCGTGTTTTTTTTTCTAATGCTCCTCACCTATTGTATTGATATAGTTTGCTTTGGCTATATGAATACAATATTAGAAAGTACTATTTTTGCGGACAAAATCGTGTGAGCTGATGAAAAGATTATATCATTATGTTGTTGTTTTTTTTCTTTTTGGTAATCTTTAAAAAAAATTTCGCCTTTTTTCTTCCTTGTTTTCATTGCATTCTTATTTTTTATTATGGTTTCTGCATACTTTATTTATTTATTTATTTATTTATTTTTTTTGCAATAGTGAAGGTTTAGAACACTTCCTCTAAAATATTAGCTAACCATTTAGGCCACTTTAAATATAATATTACGATCTTAACAATAATTAGAACTCTAAAACTCACTAATGCATTATTTTTACTCTGTTTGCTTTTAGAATTTACATTATTCAGAAAATATTTAAACTATAAGCATGTAGTGAAAAAACGAATATATATTTGATGCAGCGTATATTTCAACTTATGTAACATCCATAACAATCTATGTTATAATCCAAATTAAAACGTTGTTCTTTTCACTATCTTGTATTTAAAAAAATATAATAATTTATGAAAAAATAACTACTTACTGGATAGTTATTTGTGGTCTCTCACAATTTTCAGTTGGCTTCACATTGACTAAAATTTCCAAAATTGTTTCAGACCAATAACTTCGATAGGACAACAATCCTAAATCTGACAGAGGTTTCTCGGGAGAACCTGTCTTTCCTTCAAATTTAGAAAGTTCATAACCTTTTGGAAGAAGAACATTAATTTTAATTTTTTTTTTTGAGCAAAAAAAAAACATTCTATTCATTAGATACTGAAAAAGAAAAAAATCTCAAGTTAAAATGCACAAAAATAAACTGTACAGGACAGCATTTTTATGTGGACTTTTACACTGAACTCAAAATATTGACACGAAAAGTATCGGGATGGTCGAGCGAATAAAGGCACTCGCTTGGTAAGTAAGAAGTCCTGAGTTATCCGCCAAGTCCTCACAATTTCTTCCCAGACTTTAGAAGCATTTAAATATGAACATTAGTAATTTAAGATTCTAGTTACTACTTATGGAATATTCTAAAAGTTTCTAGGACATTCTCTTCAGTTATTTTCCTTTCTTTATTACACTGTATATAAGTTTATGTGTTTCAAGCGGAAACGGCAATGCTTTGAATTCTACAGGATGCTTAGCCAAATCTTTCAACAAAAAATAAGCGCCTTTTGAGAACATTTTAAGCACTACATACATTAACAAAATGCAAAATAATTTTCAGACTTTACATGATCATGATAAAATAACTAGTTTCTGACAAGGAACTCTTTTCTTGATTATATTAGCAACAATAAAAAGATCTGAGAGATTTTTTGGTTCGATTTCAGAGGGTGGAAAATGAAGCCTAAAATGGAGAATATCTTGTAAAATGCAATAGAGTTGCGTATGAGAGTGCAAGAATCTCACTGAACCCAGCTCAGTACACATGCGGACTCGCAAGTGTTACATCAAATATGTAAAATGATTGGCGCTTTCACACACTACAGAAAGACGGTACGCTAAAATGGATTGTGGTTAAATGAATTGTTGAAACATTGAATAGAACAATGTGAAAATTGTGCTTTTTGCATAATACTTGACGAAAATCGACATAGTAAAAAAAAAATCTCATTTTCTAAAAGGGAAAATTAAGCATTTTTTAAAAACACCCAATGAAAAAGTACCTTTAAGGGCTTTAAAAAACAAAAATAAAAAAGCACCTTTAAGAACTTTTTAAAGAACGTTATGCACCATGTTCTAGATGTTTTTCAATAAATCTGTTCTACTTGCCAGTGCAAATTTTACTATTTCTAAACGACAATATTACTGTTTTTTTTAAATATTATAAAGACTGAATATTAGAATTGAAGTATTGACTAAATTTTAACTGAAGATGTTGATAACATCCCATAAGGTAAATAACATTTCTTAAAAACTGTTTAGAATATTTTTACACATATTTTTAAGTACTTCTACAAATTTGACATAATAACATCTTAAGCAAATACACTGTACAAAACTGTTTTGATTTCAGGAAGTAATCTGAACCAGAAATCTTATATATTTCTGACTAATAAGATTCCATTAATAGATCCCATTATATTGATTGATAAGATCCCATTAGATGTTTCTGGTTTGACATCCTACATACATGTTCTGACAAATGACTATTAATATAACATTACTCATACTAAGATAGAATAAAATAGTATTGCAAAAAATTATAGTTAATAAAAATAAATGTATAAAATTTGTAGCTAACTTTTTTTAATAAAAAAAAGACTTGTTAGGATGTATGTGGACTAAGTTAGTAATGGATAAAAATCATGAGATCAAAGTGATTTATTTTGACTTTTAATCTTAAAACTGGACACTTTAATTTTAATAATATTGTTTGCAATTAACAATAACCTCACTTGTTTATTTTTCTATTGGAATACGCAAAATCCAATAGAAAAATAAGCCAAACAAATACATTTATTAACCGAACCACAGATCATAAAACATTTACATTATAAATCTCAGTTTAATATCCGAGAAGAAAAAAAAACAGCACATATGAAATATCTCAATTTATGATTTAAAATTAAAATAAGATTTGAAAATAATATACTGTTTAGAATTGCATAAAATGTGGGAATGTAATAGCTGTAAAAGCTATAATTTTCCTGCATTTTTGCTTTTCTTTCTCACTAATAATTATAGAAATTAATAAACATAAACTTTTATTAATTAGTAGAAAATGAGAGAAAAATTACTATAGAATATAATAGTTTTTGAACAATGGCATACCTGCCAACATTGAAGAAATAGAATAATGGAGATTTTACTAGCGAATTTTTTTAGGCAAGTTTTGATACATCATGCATAATCACTCAAGGAAAAAAGAGAAATTCAAAATTGGAATTAATATAACCATTTACATTTAGCGAAGTAAAAAATATGTATATAAATCTTCATCTAAAGAAAAAAATTTTCAAAACATTATTTATAATTACTTAAACTATTTTATTTTAAAACCGTCATTGAACAGCCGACTTAATATTGGGTTTTCGACTACTAATGTTCAACTCTGTAGCTTTGTAATTTTGAACTCAATCCAGAAGATAAGGGAACTACTGGATCAAGTATTGGGAGAAATTTGCCTTTGTGGAGGATTTTTGATAGAACTAACCCGTCTTGGCATTACATGGAGGTCTGGTATTACATGGAGGAACCACAAAGTCCTTCCATGGTTAGCCTGATGGCAAGGGGACTCTAACCAGGGGTGATTGTGAGCCCAAGCCAAAATTCTGGAAAATTTCTTGAGTTAAAAAAAAAAGAAGTTTAAATTGAAAAAAAATTTAAACAAGGTTTTTTTCCCCTTTTTTTTCAATATTTCTTAGTTTACTTAAAATATATTTAAAATTTTGCACATACCTATACCATTTACACATTCCTATGATTACCTGGAGAAGTAATTAAAATTTACAAATATGTCTTTCTTTCTTGAGTTTATGATTATAACAACTATTTACTGATAAAAAAATGAATATTAATCATGAATATAAGCTTATAAAGTATCTCTCTGGCTCTCCCTTACAAACACATAAAATAAACTGAGTTTTTTAAGTTCCACCTTTGAAAATTTGATTTCCGGAATCAAAATTTTTTTAAACGTCTGAACCTTCAATCTCCGGAAACTTCCGGATCACTGTCAGCGAAAAATCCAGATTTTTTCCGGAGCACAATCAACCCTGTCTAACTCAAGTTCTGTCTACCACAGATGATATTTTATGCCAGCACTGTGATCGCTGTGAGCCGGGTGTGGAATTCGAATTGATCAGTCATTGCTGGGATTTGAACCTGGTTCACCTCATTAGAAGGTGAACACTCTATCCCCTGAGCCATTACGGCTCGACTTAAACTATTAACACTCAACATACAGCAGTACTGGCAATAGCACTATCTGTTGAGGAATAAGAGAAGTACTTTTGCCATCAGTGGATATTTTATCACCAAATATTTTTTTTTTAAATTTCTTCAACATATATGGAGAAATTTGAGAATATATGGTTAAACAGGAGATAGTCGTAAAATACAGGTGTCTTTGTTAAAAAAAAGGGAGACTTGGCAGGTATGCGACGGTGACAAAATAAAAAATGAGGAAATTCTATGTACAGCAATTGGGGATAGTTTATTAATAATCATTAGTAACTATTGTATTTATTAATGAAGTCTACTTACTGAATTCTATAAGTAATTTTCCATACCCTTTACGCTGATAGGGGGGAAGAGTTAATATACAAGCCACATTATAATCTTCAGTAGATTCCTTCTCCTGAACAAAAAAAAAAGTTTACAAAAAACAGATTTTATTCAAAACATAAAAAATAAACAATAATTAAGGATACAAACCTTTGAAAAATATCCAACAATGTGAAAGCCACTGTTATCCAGTTCTGTCATAACATAGAACAAGAAAGGATCTGTGTCGTAGTATAAAGTTTTATGGTCTAGAAAGCACTTTGCTAGTAAGCAAAGATTCTGAGCATATACCTGGAATAAAATAAAAATTTATCCTAAAATTAAAATTTCTTTTAAAATGCGTTTCTTTTCCTTTTCATGACACTTCAAATCAATTTCTAGTCAATATTTAGATGCTTTCTTACATTTCAGCTGATGCCACTTTAGTTTCATTTTATGCTTTCATTAAAGTTGCAATTCATGAATACAATTTTGAACAAATTCATTTCTTACTAAGAGAAGAAAGTCAAAAGGAAAAATTAAACGTACAATACAAGTTTTCACAATTTTTAAAAAATTTTCAAATACCTCTTTGTGTTGCCTCTAGGCAACGCAATGCGAAAAACGTAATTTTGCGTTAATAAATACCCAGACAATGTTCATTGTGTTTCTTGTTTTATTTTATCACTGTCGTTGAACAGCAGACCCCATTTTTTTTGGGGGGGGGGGGGGNATGCATCATGCATGGGGGGGTATGACTACTACTAATGTTCAACTTTATAGCCTTGTAATTTTGAGCCCAATCCAGCAGACAAAGGAACTCCTAGATCAAGTATTGGGAGAAATTTGCCTTCGTGAAGGACTTTTTGATGGACTAAACCGCATTTGCGTTGCATGGAGAGGAAAATCAGAAAAACACCCCAGGGTTAGCCTGACGACAAAGGGACTCTAACCCATAATATTAGCTATATAATCATATGATTATATTAGCTATTAAAAATGATCAAGAGATTTTTCGGTTTGATTTCAGAGGGTGGAAAATGAAGCTTGAAATTGAGAATATCTTGCAAAATGCTACAGAGTTGCACATGAGAGAGCAATAATCTCAACGAACTAACTCACTATACGCACATACGGACTCGCAAGTATTTCATCAAACCTGTAAAATTATTCACGCTTTCATATGCTATAGACTGAAGGTGCACTGAAATAGATTGTGGTTGTGTGAAGTGTGAAAAAGTTGAATAGAAGTTGAAAACGCACGCTTTTACATAATATGTGGCAAAATTGATAAGGTAAAGAAAAAAAATCTCATTTTCGAAAAGTTAAATTTAAGCACTTTTTAAGAACACCCCATGAAAAAAGCACTTTTAATGGCTTTTGAAAAACAAAAATAAAAAAAAGCTCCTTTAATCACGTTTTAAAGACTCTACGCACCATGTAAAAAATCAAAACACAAACTTACTTTATTTTTTCTACCATCGATTTCAAAAAATGATATGGAAGTTTTGCGATAAATTTCATTGCCGGGAGGATGGCGAAGATTACACTTGGCCTAAACAAGATTCAATAATTAGCATGAAATAGTATGAGACATAATATTCACAATTAATTCAACTACATTAATCAGGATAATAACAAAGATAAATTTCACGGATAAATAGGATAAATTTCATTGCCAGGAATATGGCATAGATTACACTTGGCTTAAACAAGATTCAATAATTAACATGAAATAGAATTAAATACTGAGACATAATATTTATAATTAATTCAACTATATTAAACGAAACTAAACTCAGTGGCGCGACAGCCCATAGAGGGCCAAGGCCTACTGTGCCCATCTCAGTTTTCTTGACCTTGGGCTCTGGGGTGCAGGAGCAGATGTTCTGGTCAGGTGGTCAGCCGAACGCGGAACCCCCAGTGTTTAGTTCCCAAGCATGCTTGGTACTCATTTATCGACCCACTGAAGGGGTGAATGGCTGAGTCAACCTTGCCCGGCCCGAGGATCGGACCAGGGACCTGTGGCACGACAGAGCGAAGCACTACCGCTCAGCCACCGGATAATAACAACTATATTAATCAGGATAATAACAAGGATAAGTTTCATTGCCAGGAGGATGGGAAAGCTCGGCCTAAACAAGATTCAATAATTAGCATGAAATAAAATTAAATACTGAAACATAATATTCATAATTATTTAAACTATCAGTTGACATCTGAAGGTTGTTGTTGTTTTTTTTTTCTTAAATTTTTGTAGATGTTGCTTCTATGTATTATGCAAGGGAAATACCAAGGAAAAACTTGAATGTAAAAATGACACTCAAGAGGTTCAATGTATAAATTCAGAATGAAAATTTGGAGAAAACGGAATCATGCAAAACGGAGGACAAACATTAGGACATAACATGTCCTCACTAATAATAAACAAAAAATAATATTATACAGTAAATTGACATTTTGATAGGTTTCTTTACTATTAAACATTTTTCATTGATAAATATTAAACTATTTTGTTTTAAATTATTTGGAATGTTTTTCATTATCCGAGTAGATACTTTTAAAACACACACAATAAACACAGGAGTAAAAAGTAATTGCTCATATTTTTATTATAACAGTTTAAAATTAACAGATTTTCCTGTCGCAGATACTGTAGAGATGTGTGGCTTTATATGAAACTGAACCAGAATTACGTTATCTCTCACTAGAGATTTATACAACTCAAGCAAATTGAAGCTGATATAGGATGTAACAAAAGATATCTATAGGATATCCTGTATAATGTATCTATAGGATATCTGTTATCTATAGGATAAGATGCACCTGTAGGATGTGTCTATTCATAATAGGAAAGTAAAATGTTAATAAAATGTGGGCTATCACATTTTACACCGAAGGTCAAAACATATAAAAATAAAAGTCTCTGATTTGGTTTTATTTATTTTTCGATAATTGACTTAAGAGTCATACAAAAATTTTAAAGAAACATCAAGCTTACCATGTGTCTTTTTAAACAACCTCTGGATTTCATATATTTAAGACAAAACTCACACAAATATATACATGGCAAACTAACAAGTTCCTAAATAATGGAGAAAAAAATTTCATTAAAAGATGTTAAGAATGTAATAATTAAGCAAGTAGAAAAGATTTTAAGGTTAAGCAAACTTGTAAGACCCACCAATATTTCTGACTTAAGCATTAATTACTTATTTCAGCATTTATTTAACTTGGATAAAATTATTAACAATGCAATTAATTAAAAATAATTATTAACAATTATTAAAATTATGGCAGACATTCTGAAAATAAATAAGTAATAACTTTAACTTAGTGAAAAACAAAACTATCTACTTAACACATTTTTGCCATTTAGTTATTACATAAGTTCAAGATTTAGTTATTCAACACCGTTTTCAAAATTTTTCCCCCGAAGAAAATACATGGCCTGTAGTTTAAGTGCATTACATTGGAGGCAAGACTATAAATTTAAACCATGGCCCATATTTAGAAACTGCTCTTAAATTTAAGCACACTTTTATACTTAGGTTAGCACAAATACTCGCTAAAAGGTTCATATGTACTCAGATGTAAGTATGAAACCTTGTTAATTCAAGTCAAAGAAGTATCAATGAACATTGTATGCTTTAATATATCAATAACAGTTGATTGAAAAAAACAGAACAAAATAATTATTTAAAATTAACGTAGATGATAAACAAAGCAATAAAATATCATCTTTCAGACAGGAATAGAAAAGTTTTTTGTGGCCAAAAAAAAAAAAAAAATTCTACAGATAGCAAAGTTAAGAAGAAAAAAAATTTATTTTATTATAGAGTAAGATATTTTTCAATAAATTTTTCTTTATTGTATTTTTCTTTAGTAACTATTTCAATACTTCACCATATTATTTTTAAAAATTATCATATCTTTAAAGCTTTAGATCAAAATATTTCAGATAAGCCCTGTGAAAAGGCTGTTGTAGAATTTAGACTCGCAGTAGGCCATGACTGTGGAAAAGACGAACTTTGTGGAAGAGTTTTTTCTCATCCTCATGGACAGAAACCATTTGTTGGGATGAGCAGCCATACCTGCCAACATTGGAGAAATAAAATAACGAAGATTTTATTAGGGACATTTTTTGCGCTACAAGGGCTTTTTTTAATGCATCATGCATAATGATGCAAGTAAAAAAGAGAAATCCAAAATTATAAATAATACAAGCACTTACATTTAGCGAAGTAAAAAATATGTATATAAATCTTAATCTAAATAAGATTTTTATAATTATGATTGTTTATTATAATGATTATTTATGATAACTCAAACTATAAACACTCAAGATACTGCAGTGCTGGCAATAGCACCATCATTTGAGGAATAAGAGAAATATTTTAGCCATTAGCAGATATTTTATTGCCAATTTTTTTTTTAAATTTCTTCAATAAATACAGAGAAATTTGAGAATATACAGGGAAACAGAAGATAATCCTAAAATACAGGAGTCTTCATTAAAAAATAGGAGACTCGGCAGGTATGCATGGCTCAGAGGTGAAGCGATACTGGAGTGCTCGACATCTCCTGATAGGTTTTTTTCTCATATTGTGTTCTTTTTTAATCTTATAAGAGTTTGTCATTTCCTTTGCCATTGGAAATATAAAAAAAATATTACTTTTAAGTCTGGCAACTGTTGAGCAAAAGAAAATAAGAACCTACTTGGGGATAAGGTGAGAAATACCAAGGTCTTATCATGTGACCTCCCAATTCTATCATTTCTATATTCTTCATCCTTGTTATGAGATCATCATGGTGGGCAACTAAACTTCCAGTAGTTCTTGGACTAGGAGCAGCATCTTTTGAATCTTGCTGCTGAATTAAAAAGATTTTTTTTTTCAAAAATAAAAACCATACAAAGGATGGTGGTAAAAGTAAGATATTAAAATAAGGTACCAACATTAATGATGAGCTCATCTCCCGTCGCACCAGGAAACTTTCTTTTCCTTCCGGCAGTTGACTTTTTTGGAGGAGCAATACCACCATTCTGTAAACAACAAACAAATTATTTTAAAGCCTTTTATTACGAAAAAAACCATCGTGTTGAATTCTTTTACTGGGTATACTGAAATTTTCTTCTCTAACTATCTTCAATTTTATTTTAAAAAACTATGATTGCTTTCCCTCATTTCAGAATCAGCTCATTCATTAATCAGAATCAGCATCATACCCTTTGTTAATAAATAAAAACTCTTAAAAATTATGTGCTCTGAAGTGCAAATCGGTTATTTTATTTTTGTATTTCATATTTGCATCTATTTTACTTTTGTTTCTTTCTGCCATATTCTGTTCACCAAGTGAATCAAAATAGCTTCAGTTTAATAATGATTTGCGATTTCAATTGAACCCAAATGACCATACACGATTTTTAACCCTCTCATATGCCATGGGTTGCTTGAAGACAAGTGCCGCAAGGTTTCTGCTACTAGGTTCCCTATTAAACACATATTATTTAACAGGGTGCATACCCAAATATTTCAACAAAAAATAAGCACCTTTTAAGTACATTTTAAGCACTCAAAACATATTTTTAAGTACTATGTACATTAACAAATTATAAAATTATTTTCAAAGATCATGATGAAATAACTAGTTTCTGACAAAGAACTCTTTTCTCGAATTTATTAGCCACCATAAAAAGATCAAGAGATTTTTCGGTTTGATATCAGTGGCTGGAAAACGAAACCAGAAACTGAAAATATCTTGCAAAATGCAGCAGAGTTGCACATGAGAGTACAATAATCGCATCAAACACAGTTTAGTAAATGCACATGCGGACTTGTAAGCATTTCATCAAACATGTAAAATGAATGGTGCTTTCATATGCTAATGACAAACGGTACACCGAAATAGTTTGTGCTTGAATGAATTGTGAAAATGTTGAATAGAACAAGGTGAAAAGCATGCTTTTACATAATACATGGAGAAAATCGACTTTTCCTTTTCGAAAAGCAAAAACTAAGCACTTTTTAAAAACATCCCATGAAAAAAGCACCTTTAAGGGCTTTTAAAAACGAAAATCGAAACCTTTAAGCACTTTTTAAAAATGCTATACACCATGTTTAATGCTCATGAACTAAAGTTTCTAGCCTAAACTCTAAACACATATCAGCAATTACTTTTCATTGTAAAATCACTTAGAGAGTAGCTTTGAAAAAACCCTAAAACTTTCATTGATTAACTAGTTCCAGGATTCTATATTGGTTTCCTGGATTTGTATTGGTCCACAATTATACACACTAATGTTGCTCACAAGATACACTGCATTAAGAGGATACACCATACGTTATAATTGTTACATGTTAAAAGATAATTTTTGCAAGTAATACTGCTTAAAAATTTAGCAACTCATAACAAGAAAATAAAAGAAATAAACATAGCTACATACTTGTAATAAATGAATTGGTTCTTCTTTTACCTAAAATTTTAAAAAAGAAGTGTAAAAATATGAAAGTAGTTTACATGTAAAGTTTAAACAATGAAATGAAATGAAGCAAATGAACATAAGCTTTCGATGAATACATAATTTTACATTTCTTTGGAAATTTCCCTTCATTAATTTTAAAGCAAGTTACGTACACATTACTAATTTAAAAATGAATACTTAATATAGTGTAGTGAATGATATCAGTAACTTTATCATTATGCACTTCATTCGATCTTTTGAAAATGAAAAAATAATTAAAATAATCATTCTTAAAGCCATTTTTTTAACTAAACATTTGGATGAAATTCTAGCAATTTTTTTTCAGTTTGCACGATATCTTATTTTTATAAACACAATAGATATAAGATGAAATGTTAAATATTTAAAATAAAATTAATCTCTGGGCAAAAGCCCTTTCAGTTTGATAGTTTTTTTTCCCTTAAAAAAAAGAAGAAAAATTAATTTTTAAACTTAGATTTTTAATAAAATTATATTTCAATTTTATAATTTAACTTCATTTATCATCGATTATTACAATTTTATTATGCTAAAGTGTTGCAGATATGAATCTCCATATTCAATAAAAAATTGGTACTCTTCAGTAAGTCGGGAGCAAGTGAAAATTCGCCAAATAATGTAGAATTCTGCCAAATTTCTTACAACCATAAGAGGAACTTTAGTTTGGGGTTTTGTGCTCTATTCTCTGAATTCATTCAAAACAAAGCATGTTTTCCTTTCTTTCCTCCATCTTGTTTTAAAAAATGATGAAAATTTGAGATTTTTGTTCCCAATTCATTATTAGTATGAAGAAAAAAAATTTATACGATACTTACAATTATTTCCTTTTCTGGAGAGCATGGTCGAGAACCATTTTTAATTTCTTTTAACGGTGTTTTGACTTCCTTTTTTGGTTGCTGAACTTTAGTAAGGTCCAAACGATCTTTACCAACCCACTCATCAAGACGTTTATTAACTAAAATACACAGAAAACCTTCATATATACACTACTCATTACAATAAAACATAGAATGAAATTATTTTACAAAAATTTATAATTTTAAATGATAAAGGGTTTCAAGAATTATTTGGAATAAAATATGAAACTCATATAACTGGGTTTCCACTCAATTTCAGGAAAATATTTCGCTGACTTTTCCAGGTATATCAGGAAAATCTCAAAGAACATCCAAACCTTATTTAATCCATACCATGCAATTTTTCATCAGACAATTTTGATTTTTTATTTGCAATGTCAAATATTAGACTTTATGAGCAAAGAGATAACACTGAATGAGGATAGAAGCCTGGAAGTCGTACTAAAATTAAATTTTTTACAACAAATAATTGAAATAGACGTTACATTTATTTAACTAGATTCTCTGTAGCTGATTACTGATACTGACAATTCTAAGACTGATTATTTTTAAGGTATGATGTAGGAATTTTCCAGGTTTTCTTTTTTTTTTTTAAATTCCAATTTTCTCTGACTATTCCCTGTTTTTTTTTTTAAAAAAATCCCTAACAATTTCAAGTTTTCCTTGTTCCTCCTGAACCATGGGGATAATAAAAACAATAATAATAACTACATAAAAAAAAATGGAACAAAAATTTCTGCAGAAAAAAAAACCAAAATTATTTACTTCCCAAAGAAAAATCTTTCTGCTGAAAGAAAAAAATTTCATGCTGATCTTCTACGCCGTCAGCATGATGCCATGATTCTGCCACGGGAGCTGAAACTAAACTTTCCTTCTTGAAGGTATATAAAAGTTGAATAATCACTCTTCTTTAACCTTATTGAAATCTCTTAGTAACCTTATTGATATGTAAGATAAAGTTTGCTTATTTTATGCGAATAACAAAACAACATACTCTGCATATAACAAAACAACACAAATAATAGTTCTTTCACCAGGAGTTGGCAATTGGCTCCGCCTTTATCACATGGTATCCGACGATACTATTTCGATATTTTTGGAAGGATGTGAACGATCCTAAATAAGGCTGCTATTTCACAATCGTATGACACAAATATTTATTTCACAATCTTTATGTGCATTTTTTAACATTAAATATTTTATAAACTTGATTATACAGTACAGAACCCGTTATCCGGAAATCAGAAAACCGGAAAACCAAAAAACCGGAGCGAAATTCAAAAAATTTTCCGCCATTTTTTTAAAAAAAAGAATTTCCCTCATAAGATTTTAGGATTTTTCTTTCTTTTTTGAAAGATGTTTACCTTACCATCATTTTGGAAATAATCATTAGTGTATTACTTCATCGTTTTTTCTTTTTAAGTTTATTTCCAAAATTTTTTTTTTTTAGTTGGGCTTAACAATTAAAAAAACGGCTTTTTGTAGTGATTCAGAAAACCAGAAAAATCAGTTATCCGGAACAGCGATGGTCCCGATCGTTCCGGATAATCGGTTCCCTACTGTATTTCTGTCTTTTGAGCGAATAGTTTGTCCTTTTTAAGACATTTCGCTGCAATATATTTGATTAGCTAGAGTAACGAAAGTTATAATTGCAAATAATAAGCGAAGTAAGCGACTGAAAAAGAATTCATTGTTTGTGCTTGGCGCGCATTAAGGGTTGTCTCAATTTCAAGAGCACAGATGTTTCTGCTTTTAATCCCGGGATGAAATGAACTCTTCATCCGAGGAGGTGGAGCCAAGTGGTGAACGAACTACACTTTATGCCGGCAATTATAGAAGAAATTCTAATAAACCTGGTAAAATAATAATATTCAATTAGATGGAATAAACATTATAAGGTGCAGCATATTATTTTTAAAAAAAGTATTAAGTACAGATTTATTTCAGTTTTTTTTTAAAAAAACAATCATAAAGACAATAATTGAAAGGTACTCACAATCTATATAATGGACATAATACAAGGACTCTCCATCAGAAGTTTCTTTAATGCTCAGGATTTCAGCCAGTACTAAGATAAAAGGAAATAAACACTTTTAAGTTAAATATTAAGAAAAAAAATAAAACATAAATTAACTAGGATATGTAAAATAAATAATAATTACAGAGTTGTGGCATAAAAGAAGAAAATCCAACTTTAGGGTGCGTAGCCAAATCTTTCAACAAAAAACAAGCACCTTTTAAGTACTTTTTAAGCACTCAAAAATATATTTAAGCACTACATACTTTAACCAAGCGGAAAATAATTTCCAGACTTTACGTGAGCACAATAAAATAATTAGTTTCTGACAAAGAACTCTTTTCTTGATTATATTAGCCATCATAAAATGATCAAGAGATTTTTCGGTTCAATATCAGAGGGTGGAAAATGAAGCCTGAAATTGAGAATATCTTACAAAATGAAGCAGAAATGCATATGAGAGTGCAAGAATCTTACTGAACCTAGCACAGTATACGTACATGCAGACCTGCAAGTGTTTTATCAAACATGCAAAATGATTGGCGATTTCATACGCTATGGACCGACGGTACGCTGAAATAGATTGTGGTTGAATGAATTGTGAAAACGTTGTACTATGTTAAAAGCATGCTTTTGGGTGTTACGTGGCGAAAATCGACATGGTAAAGAAAAAATTCTCACTTTCCAAAAGGGTAAATTAAGCACTTTTTAAAAACACCCAATGAAAAAGGCTTTTATGACTGGTAATAGGGTTTTTAAAAAACGGGCTTTTAAGGGCTTTTAAAAAACGAAAATCGAAAATAAGCTCTCAAGCATTTTTTTAAAAACTCACTTGGAACTCACAAAGAACCCCATGAACTCACTTGGTAACACAAAAACGTCATTTGCTTCAGTGGTGGTAAAAAATGGTGAAAACAAAAATTAAACAGTTTTGGCTTTTTTACTTTTATTTTTCATTGGCTAATTTACGTTTTCTATTTCAAATCTCTTTTGTTTTCCTAATTCAGGTCTAGTGAGTTTTGAGAATAGGCACCTATTCTAGAATGCTCAAAGCATGCAGAGTTTTAGGATCGTCCAATTTTTTTAAGTAAACTAACTTTTTATATTAATAAGTATATCTTTTCGTTTTAGTAGTTTCTTAAGATCATTCCTGCAATACTTCCTATACAGACAGTTTTAACTGAATTTGACACATTTTAAATAATTTGGAGTAAGTAGAGGGCAGAGGAGTGTGGATGTTTAAGGCAAACTACTACTTTGATGACCAGGGAAAGAGGAGTATAATCACTAGAAGGGGCAAGCAACATTTATTTAAATAAAAAAGTAACATTAAGAAGATATACACTAGTAAAAATTTGAATCCATATTTTGAATTTACTTTTATGTACATTCAAGCAGAAACTATTCTACATAAAAAAAAATATTATCAATCGTGTTCTTTTTAAATTTTGTGCAATAAATTAGTATATGCAATGACTTTACCATAATTTTTTGGGAAAGGAAATTTTTTCCCTTATTACAGTACATTAAAATATCATTTTTAATTGACTGGTTTCATTACCTGCTAAACAATTATTTTACAATTTAAAGAGAAGTGTTAAATGATCAACTCATATTTCTAATTAAGTTAACATATAAATTTGATTATTTTTCTTTAAATCTTAGTGGTTTGAAAAAAGAATTCAAAAACCACAATTTTTTGTAAATGGTAAGATTCTAATGTTTTTTTTAAATGGAATTTTATCTCAGTCGTTGATCAAATGTCTTGTTCAATTGGATGCACAGATCTATTGCCGCCTTTCCTACTCATTCCACTATTTAAAGAAAGCGAAAAACCTCGCATTAAATTTTAAAATAATGAAAAATAATACATATTTCATGTATTTGTGATTGCATCTTTATGTAAGACAACTTTCAATAAATAACTGCCAAGACTCTCTTTGATAAAATGGCTATTTGTGGAAGACAATATTTTACTGTGCAATATTTTAAAAGGTATATTTTAAGAGTAAATTAAAGAACAGCAATACATATTTGCTTCTATTTAGTTTCTTCCTATTTGAATGTTTACAACTAAATATCAGAAAAAGTAAGCTAAACAGGTTGCATAGTCAAATCTCTCAACAATAAATAAGCACGTTTCAAGCACTCAAAAAATATTTTTAAGCACTATATATATTAACAAAATGCAAAATTATTTTCAAAAACTTTACATGGTCATGATAAAAATAACTAGTTTCTGACAAAGAACTCTTTTCTTGATTATATTATCCACCGGTTCGATTTCAGAGGGAAGAAAATGAAGCCTGAAATTAAGAATCTCTTGCAAAATGCAGTAGAGTTGTACATGAAAGTGCAAGAATCTCACAGAACCCAGCTCAGTAGTAACTTCCAAGTATTTCATCCAACATGTAACATTGGCATTATCTTCCGTTACTGACTGACGGCATGCCGAAATGGTTAGTGGTTGAATGAATTGTGAAAATGCTGAATAGAAAACAATGTGAAAACCATGCTTTTGCATAATACGCAGCGAAAATTTACAGGGTAAAGAAAAAAATATCTCATTTTCGAAAAGAGAAAATTAAGCACTTTTTTAAAAACATCCCGTGAAAAAAGCACCTTTAAGCATTTTTTAAAAATGCTATGCATCATGGTAAAGATCTTCATTGAATGTATGGATAATGAGTAAAATCCTTAAATTGACAAATATTTCAGCAAATATGGCACCACTTTGTCCCTTGATTAGGATAAAAATTACAAAAAGATAAATATGAATTAAAACAGTAAAACATAGAAAAATTATGAAAATACTAGACATGAGAATACGGAATATTCAAGTCCTCAAATTTTATTTCCCAAAACTATAAGTAATAACTCATGTAATACCGAATTTATGACAAATTAGGATTTGAAGTGGTAAAATATATTATAGTGGAAACAAGAACAAGACCCCCTGTGACAGAATTTTTTCGAGCTATTTGCGACATAACTCTCTATCACTGATACCTTTCAGCAAGATACTTTTGATAATAGCAAACCTATACATAAATGATCTAAAATAACAAAAAAAAGTTTTACAAAAAAAAGTTCAACATTTTTTTTTCAATTGAACATACAATAATTTTTTTATTCTAATATTATGGGGGATATTCTTGCATTGTGTTGGGGGGATCCACAAATTACAACCTTCTTCGCATTCTGTAAATAAATAATCATCACAATAAAAAATCACGAAATCCGTAATAGTACTTGCTGAAAGAGAAAGATCAATGATGAAATCATGCGAAATGGACTTCTCAAATGTGTTATAATAAATAAATTGAATGCATCAAAAAATGATTATCTAAATGCATGATTCAAATATTAAGTGTACATTTTTGTAGGAAAGGAAAGTAAATATTTTTTCTTAAAACTTTTCAAACATAACATCTTTATGCAAGAACTCTGTAACGTTCTGTGACAATGTCGCCTTGTCGCTGCGATTCTGCCACGGGGACAAGACCTACTACAGTAGGGAACCGATTATCCGAAACGATCGGGACCATCGCTATTCCGGATAACTGATTTTTCCGATTTTCTGAATCGCTACAAAAAGTCGTTTTTTTATTGTTAAACCCAACTAAAAAAAATTTTAAAAAAATCGGAAATAATCTTAAAAAGAAGAAAAAACGATGAAGTAATACACTAATGATTATTTCCAAAATGATGGTAAGGTAAACATCTTTCAAAAAAGAAAGGAAAATCCTAAAATCTTATGACGAGAAAAAAAAAATTTTTAAAAAAAGTACCATATATATTAACAAAATGCAAATTAATTTTCAAAGACTTTAAATGATAAAATAACTAGATTCTGACAAAGAACTCTTTTCTTGATTATATTAGACATAATAAAAAGATCGAAAGATTTTTCGGTTCGATATCAGAGGGTGGAAAATGAAGCCTGAAATTGAGAATATCTTGCAAAATGCAGCAGAGTTGCACATGAGAGTACTGGAATCTCACTGAACACAGCTCACTACTATACGCACATGCGGACTCGCAAGTATTTCATCAAACTTATAAAATTATTGACGCTTTCATACGCTATGGACCGATGGTACACTGAAATAGATTGTGGTTCAGTGAATTGTGAAAACGTGGAATAGAACAATATGAAAAACACGCTTTTACATAATATGTGGCAAAATTGACATGGTAAAGAGAAAAAATCTCATTTTCGAAAAGGGAAAATTAAGCACTCTTTAAAAACAACTCATGGAAAAAGCACCCTTAACAGCTTCTAAAAAAACGAAAATAAGCACCTTTAAGCACTTTTTAAAAACGCTATGCACCACGTAACTAATAAAGCTTGATCATCAGGATTGCCAATGCATTTTGAGCTAAAATATTTATATTTTTTAAATATTACATTATATATTAAGTTTAATTCAATTTAAAACTTATGCTTTAAAATTCTATCTATTTATTTATTTTTTATTTTTTCATTTGATTAACTCATCATTAATCTGCATCCCAGATTTTTGAGTTTTCAACAGTTAAAATCAACATCAAACAGTAAACTAAAATCTTGAGTAACTTCTAGTCAAAATGCTAAAATATATATATTTAATATTTATTTAAGGAAAAAAACTATTGCATATTTAAGTTTCCTCCCCCAATCCTCTGGTAGAACTAAATGAGAAGCAGCATAAAAAATTCTAAATTAAATAGAACAGTACTAGTGATTAAATATTAAAAAGCCTGGTTCATAGTAAATTTAAAAAAAAAAAAAAGAGTTACGAATTTTTAGTAATATTAGGAAGCAATTTTTTCAGCTATTGATAAATTGAAAACTATTAGGATACATAGGAAGCTTTTAACTTATTTTTAAATCAAACTCAACCGCACACAAAATTGGAATAAAGAGACAACAGCCAAAATCAAATTTTTACACTGATTTTTTCAAATTTCCTACTTAAAAATTTTATGTATTTACTTTGAAATAATAAGATTATAAAAAATGCTCAATTAAATTTCAAAAGATGTTTTTAAGAAACTTATATAAATATTTTGATTATTTTCAGACATAATATATAAATTATACAACAGCCAATAAACTTATGTATAAAATTACTGTTTAAGTAAAGAGATGGCGCCACTTAAGTTACAGGGCAATTTTTTAAACTTATTTTTATACTTTACTACAGTCGGCCCTCTATTTAAGAAAGTCCCTAAATTCTGATAAATTCGTTGAATGGAAAATTCATTAAATAGAAAATTACCTTTTGAAATACTTAAACACAAAACAAGCTTTAAATTCATAAACACGTGACATAATTAAAATAGCAATTGAAACACTTTTATCTTGTATATTAGTATCAACTATTTATTTAATAAATCTTCACCATAAAAGAAATTTGTATGAAAAGCTGGAATAGAGCAAAACATTATCCAGTGTTACACTATCATGCTACATACATTTTCAACTAAAAAAAAAAAAAAATACGTATAAAGTTATAGCATTGAAAATGAATGAGAGAAGAGCTTGAAGGACAGCCTTTTGAAGCATTATTTCTTCTTGCGTGATTCATAAATATTTTTTTTAAAAAAAATGAGAGTATTGTTTCATAATTTCTTCTATATATCTATTATAGATTCTTAAGTGTCATAACTTAAAAACTTAACAGGGATAGGAGGAAAAAAGTAATTATTTTGCAAAAAACCATTCTAAGAAAATATGAGGATTAAACTTTGAAGGAAAAAGTATGAACTTTAAATGGAAAATACGGTTGTCGACACTTTTTTTTAGGGTAATGAGTTTTAATGTACAGATGTAATGCAAGAAAATCCCAGGAAAATATTTCCGTTAAAAAACTAATAAGAAATTTAAAAATCCGTCTTGACTTGCATTAGGGGGGGGGGGTTCTAGTCAGCAATCATTTCAAACTTCATCTTTAAATGCCAATGTCATAATTCCAATGCCCTTCTAGTCTACATTCATTTAAAATTTCATCTTAAAATGCTAATGTCATACTTTAAACGCCCTTCTAGTTCTAGTCTACATTCATTTAAAATTTCATCTTAAAATGCCAATGTCATACTTGAAACGGGCTTCTAGTTTACATTCATTTAAAATTTCATGTTTAAATGCCAATGTCATAATTCCAATGCCCTTCTAGTCTACATTCATTTAAAATTTCATCTTAAAATGCTAATGTCATACTTTAAACGCCCTTCTAGTTCTAGTCTACATTCATTTAAAATTTCATCTCAAAATGCCAATGTCATACTTGAAACGGGCTTCTAGTCTACATTCATTAAAAATTTCAAGTTTAAATGCCAATGTCATGCTTGAAAAGCCCTTCTAATCTACATTCATTTAAAATTTCATGTTTAAATGCCAATGTCATACTTGAAAAGCCCTTCTAATCTACATTCATTTAAAATTTCATCTTTAAATACTAATGTCATGCTTGAAACGAACTACAAACACACACAAACATTCTATTTTATTGATTATTTTTACACAATTAACTTTCAACTTTTGTAATTAATCTCAATGGAAGAATTTTTTATGTATAAGATTAAGTAAAATTATCAGTAAAAATGTAAATTTATTTTATAAATGAGTCAAAAGAATACTTGTGTTTTAAAGTGCAATGCTTTATTTTTTTAAAATAAAAAACAGTTTATCAAATTAAAAACAAAATTATATCTGTAATGGTTCAAAGTATGTAATGTCAAAGTCAAAGTAGTAATGGTATTGATCAGATTCATTATTCGATAGGAGTTATTTCAGGGTTGCCACAGAAAAAAATAAACAAAATTAGTTGCTTTTAGTAGCCTAAAGCATGAAAATAGTTGTTGAAAAGTATGAAAATAGTTGCCTAAATAAGAACAAAAAATTTTCAAAAATAAGACTAAAATTTTAATAAATGACTTAATTATCATATACAATGATCCAGTGAGTCAATTTGGTGACAAATATGATAATTTTTTATAAACGTTAGTGTTCTAGCACCGAATATTTATATTTAAAAAAAATTTTACAAGAAATTAAATACTTTTAATTACTAGAATTCATTAAAAAAAATACTTTTTCTAAAAATTTTTCCATTTTATCAATAATTGATTTAACAAATATATATGTAAATATATTGTGAAATTGATTACTCAAATTGATTATTCATGCATCGTAATATCGTATTAAAAATTAGGTTTTCTAAAACCAAGCAGAATTTCGTAGCAATAGCCGTTGAAAAGGCGGTCAAGAAACAAAATAGACTTAAAATGGAATATGTGCAAATTGAGCGCATTAAAAAGTAAAGAATTGGAAAGAATTCAACATTTCAATGATTTTCAACATTTTTATGTTTTAAGGGGAAAAAATTCATTGTTTTCAGAAGCTCTTGCGGGCCGTAGGTTGTCAACCCTATTAATACTAAAAAAAATCGCTATGAGTACAGAAAAGTCTCACAATAATCTCCTTTTCTTGAAAATAGTTGCTCCTTTAGCCTTTCCAGACAAAAAAAAAAAAAGTTGCTAAAGTCGTCTCATGCCGAAAATAGTCGCATTTTAGTCGCCTGTGGCAACCCAGTATGTTTTAACACAAATTAACTTTCTCACATTTGAATTTTTTTCAAAGTTGAAGTTAAGTTACTAAACTGACTTCAGTCCCATTTAAAAAGAAAAAAATCTAAATAAAATATTGATTATAGTGATGTGATTACTGCTCTAACTAAATTTACTATATTAGCTCAAACAAACTTACAAAATTCCTCTAACTACATTTCATTCAGCGGTGCTTTAATAATTACTCAAATATTAAAATTTTCAGAAAATTGCACAAAATCTGCCAAGACTCAATCAATAATTGCTCAAAATAATGTTTTTGGATGATAAAAATTTAATGTAAATATTGCAGAGAAAATTGTGAAAATTATGCATTTTTTGTAACGTAGAACGACAATCGACACGGTAAAGAAAAAAATATCTGTTTTCAAAAGATAGAAAATTAAGCACTTTTTACAAATCCCGAATTAATAAAAAGCACCTTTAAGGGCTTTTAAAAAACGTAACTCAAAAATAAGCACCTTTAAGCACTTTTTAAACGCTACGCACCCTGTTTTTTTTTTATTCTAGCCTCTTTTCATGATCATGATAAAATAGCTAGTTTCTGATAAAGAACTCCTTCTTGATTACATAAGCCACCATAAAAATATCGAGATATTTTTCAGTTCGATTTCAGAGGGTGGAGAATGAAGCCTGAAATGGAGAATATCTTGCAAAATGCTGCAGAGTTGCACATGAGAGTGCAAAAATCTCACCGAACCCAGCTCAGTGCATGCACATGCGAACCCGCAAGTATTTCATTAAACATGTATAATGATTGGCGCCTTCATACGTTACAGACCGACGGTACGCCGAAATGCATTGTGTTTAAATGAATTATGACAACATCGAATAGAACAATGTGAAAACCACGCTTTTACGTAATACGTGTCGAAATTCGACATGGTAAAGGAAAAAAAATCTCATTTTCGAAAAGGGAAAATTAAGCACTTTTCACAAACCCCGAATTTTTTTAAAAAAAAGCACCTTTAAGTACTTTTTAAACGCTACGCACCCTGTTATCTTATTTTAGCCTGTTTTTTTTTTTTTTCAAAAAATGTAGTTTAAAGCAGAAAAGAAGAAGAAAAAAACTGAGCAAGATACATTCACAAGATGTATATAATCAATCATACAACAAATTTGAATTAGAAATAATTTCAATATTCAAACAAAAATGAAATAGATAAAAAAAATCATGCTAAAATAATGAAGAGGAGAATGTTAATGCCCAAGAAAATAAAGGTTATGTTTGATAACCCTTTTCAAATCATAAGATGGAAAAGAGAGGTTATTTTAAAGTTTCATTTAAGAACGAAAACAGCATGCACGAAATGGCCTTTTGCAACGAGGATGGAATATTATTAAAATTAAAGCATTACAGGAGGGATGGTAACACAAAGAAGAATTACCATATTCTGCCAGTTGAATTTCCCGAGGTGCACCTTCAGCAGCTGTACAAGTTCAAGAAAATGTCATTAAAATTTAGAAAAAAAATCTTTAAAAAAATAATTATAAAAAACATGGAAAAATTATTTAAAGATGATGATCTCAAATATGTTTAAATTAGAAAATGAACTAGAATGAACACTAAACTGTATTCAACTTAATCACTCAAGTTTTCGAGAATTTAAAAAAAAATTATAAATAAAATTCTACAGAACGTATTAAACATTTCAATTACAGGGTGCGTAGCCAAATTTTTCAACAAAAAATAAGCACTTTTTAAGCACTTAAAAAACATTTTTAAGCATTATGTACATTAACAAAATGCAAAATAGTTTTCAGACTTTACACGATCATGATAAAGTAACTAGTTTCTGGCAAGGAACTCTTTTTCTTGGTTACATTAACCACCATAAAAAGATAGAGAGAGATTTTTTCAGTTCGATTTCAGAGGGAGGAAAATGAAGAATTGAGAATTTCTTGCAAAATGCAGCCGAGATGCACATGATTGTGCAAGAATAATTCTCACTGAATCCAACTCAGTATACGCACACGCGGACCCGCAAGCATTTCATCAAACAAGTAAAATGATTGAAGCTTTCACACGCTAAGAAACGAATATAAATGTGTACGCTGAATATCTATGTGTTTGAATGATTTGTGAAAACGATGAACAGAACAATGTGAAAATCACGCTTTTTGCGAAGTTCGTGACAAAAATTGATATGGTAAAGAAAAAACATCTCATTTTGGAAAAGGGAAAATTAAGCACTTTTTAAAAACAACCCCATAAAAAAAGCACTTTTAAGGGCTTTTAGAAAATCGAAAATAAGCACCTTTAAGCACACTTTTTAAAAACGCTACGCACCCTGTTATAGATGAAAAAGTAAATTAGGCCAAATAAAATAAACAGAAGCATGCTTTAAATAACAATTATAATTGTGCTTGCAATGTTTTTTAAACATTATTAATAGTTGAATAATTTTTCATCCTTCGTTTGTAACAGAATTAGAACAAAACTACCAAATAAAGAATGAAATTACTGTAATGAAGGAAGACTGTAATTATAAGAGAAATAGAAGATAGTTCAAATAGAAAAGATTTTTAAGACACAATAAAAGAGCTGCCAACACGAAAGGGGAAAAAAACTACAAAATATAACATATTTTAATAATAAAAAGGGGAAATAAAATACAAAAAGTAAAAAATTATGCTTGTTTTTATTCTCTGCATTATTTCTAATTTGTAACTGACATTAAAAGAATTTTGAATTAAAAAAAAGAAATCTCAGATTCTTAAATGCACAATTTCGCATTTTGATTTGTGAAAGATATTAAACTAATATTAGAATATTACAACACAAGTTTGAAAGAAAACTTTAATGACAACAAAAATTTAATATTCTTGTACATACTAATTAAAAAATTTTAAGTTCTCTATAAAAAATATTTTAAATAAAAATAACAGTTTTTTTAAGTCTTACTTCTTTATTTAGTAGTATTCAAATTCTCACATAAAAAATTTGTGGAATTTTTTCCTGAAATTTTCCGAATTTTAAGAAAGTTTCTAAAGTGCATTAAAGCCAGAAAAACTCTTTAATATACAAGTAGATAGGAGAGAAATATGGTAAATTCAATCTATTTAGTGTTTTTTTCCAGTTGAGTTGGCAGCTGTGGATTTGAAAAATTTCCAATTTTCAATTTATTGTAATTGATTGATTTTTTAAAAAAAATTATACTTTACATTAAGACAATTAGATACCAGCTATCAGTTAAGAATAAATTCTAATCATAAATATTGAGCAACAACTCATAATACAATAACAATTGTTTCCCATTAATGTTGAATTAGATATTTTCTGGTTTACTAATGAGAAAAAAAATTCTATGAATTTAAACTGTAAAATAATAGCTACGCAAGACCATAGTAATATAAAAAAATAATAAGCATTTAATAAAGTCATGCATTTTTATTTCATAGATGGAATAAATTACATTTCAAGTTGTGTGCTTGCATATGGGCAGATCTCTAGAACCTTTAACTTTTGATAATAAAAAAAAATAATAGGCACACTGCTTTAATACCTCCAGAATTGTTTGAAAATGTATAAAATATCAGAAAATAATAGTGAACAACGAAAATTTTGATGCCCTTATAAGAATGAACAAAAAATTAAAATTTTTGAATTTTCCATATTTACCCTTTATTTCTCATCAAAAATTATTAGTATCATAAATGAATTAAAAAAATTTAATATTAAGTCAAATTGTTATGAAATGTATAAAAAGGCTTACTTTAATTATTTTCAGTCAAAAAAATATCTTCAATTAGTAAAACATAGGTAAAAAACTAATTTCTGATATGTTAAATTCAATTAATTAATCCTGAGGTTACGGTTTGACAGGGTTACGGTCCGTGCTACCTAGGGAATAGATCGAAAACTTTACTCAGATGCAACGCAATGCGATGCACACAACACAGAAAATAAATTAGGCAATGACAAACGTGTGATCAAAATTTTGATTGATTTTAACATTTACTTTTTAGACATCTTGACATCGTTATTGTTATCTCACCGATTGACAGTTTGTGATAAATTCGATTATGTTATAATTACTGCAAATAAAAATATTTATCTATAATAATGATACAAGTTTGTTCTACTTTAAATAAGCTTTTGGAATATGACTAACATAAAACTCGCAGAATTGGATTGTATACCTTTTTTTTTCAATTTTCGCTGGTTACGGTTTGGCGTGCCAAAATTTGGCGACAAACTTTAAGGGTTTGCAAACGTCGATATTCACGAAAAATATCATTCAAGAAATTATGATAGTACAGCTGAGCTACTAAATTATATTTTTAGTGATTTTCACTTTTTTTTAAACAGAATACATACTGAAAAAAAAAAATAAAAAAGTATGTTAAACTCTAAGCGACACTCATGAAAAGTTGTCAAATGTAGGATTGAAGTAAGAAATGAAAGCCAAAAGCAAGTTACTCGCCATCAAAATTGTACGTATATTAAAGTTAGTAATGCATAGTTATTTATGTAATTTTATTATAATTAATTTTCGCTTATTATGTTACATATTTATAAGAAAAGTTTGAAGACACATAGGTTAATGATTCCTGAGGTTCGCCCATATGCAAACATTTATGTGTTCTTTTCTGTTAGATCTGTTTTAGATCATATTATTTCTTTTTAAAAAAAAGGATCAAAATGTTTATTTATAGGGGTAAAAATACCACTAGACAATTTTCTACATTCAGCACCAGAAGCCCTTATTTGTGTGACAATTAAATTAAAACCAGTTTAGGAACAGACACAATTTTTATTACAACTCAAACAACATTCTATAGTGAAAAGACTTTGGGTTTCAGATGCATGTTAATTATTTTTCTGAAGTGATCATAAATGTTAAGTGAATTAACATGCATATTACATCAGGTAAATGTTAAACGTTTAGAAAAAATTTTGATTTTTACATCATTCACAATTAAGCAACTTTGCAAAATCCATTTTTAAAATTTGCCTAAACGAACCAAATATCAGAATGGGCATTGCAATATAATTTAGACAATGCTTAAAAATATGGCACAGAAATCGAGTCCGAACACGTCAATTTTCATGATTGCCCAATACATCTAGCTTCATTAGTTTAATTTATAATGAGTATGAGCTTGGCTATTATTACTGAACTCGTCGTAATTTCTTTTAGGTTTTAGATAGCTAAAATTTATAAATATTAAAAACCCTGTTAATGACTGCCTTTAAACAATGGCGACCTCCTAAGAATGAGCGTATGTTTATGGTGGTTTTATATTTAGGGGAACATCTGAACAGAGTGATTTCAGAACAGCTATGCATTGATAGCACGAATTTTGTATCCAGATGTATCTTAGTCAATTTTTCTAATTTTTTTATTTCTTGTCTGCAATAACTTAGACTGATGATTGCTAAACATATTTCCCCATCATCACATTCAAGTCATTGAAGAACTTTTAACCATTTATACAATAGTCAATCATAGATTTGTTTGACAATTCAATTCTGCCAACCACAGATAAGCTGCATCTTTCATCACAGGAATCTAGTTCTAACATATACAATGATAGGGCTGCTAGTTTTTCGCGGGAAAAAAAAAAGACCTGAAATTCGCTGGAAAAATTTAACATATGAAAGACAGAAATTGTGTAAATAATAAAACAAAAATATAAAAAATACACATTTCTTTTGCTTTTAATTTCTTTTAATTACGTATATATAACGGATTACGTATATTATAACGGATTTCTTTTAATTTCCGGTAATATTAATATTTTTATTTAAATGAACGAAATTTTGGTACAAAGTATTGTACATTTTCAGATTATTCTTATTTATGCTACGTCGTTCGTCACTTAATAAATTTTAATACTTTGAAAACGATCTTTCCGCGTCTACGCTAATCCCAAGCGTCCCAAATTACAAGAAGCCGAAAATTGTCTGGATGCGTACAAAGGCAGAAGAAATTCCATTGCCCAGTGCAATACCCGGTATAACAATGTTACTGTCAAAGATTTGATTTGTAAAATATTTCTTCTTTTGTGATTCCGATTCTCTTTGTAATCTTATGGACTTCAGGAAGGTAATCCTAATCAGTCTATCAACCTCCCTAAATGTAGAAATATCACCTTACATGACAAGATTGGGATTATCTCTTATGTCTGAACAATTTTTTTGTCATTTTGCTATTGATTTATTCCCCTAAATGTCTAATCAATTTTACATGTTCAATTTAAGGATTCAGGAAATAAAAAAATTCTATTAAATAAAAATAATAAATTTAAAAAAATGAAGAAAAAATTTTAATTTAAGCAATTTTTTTGTAAAATTTTTTGAGTGCTTCTCACACTATTGCAGGGTTGCCACAGTAAAAAATGAACAAAAATAGTTGCTTTTAGTAGCCTCAAGCATGAAAATAGTTGCCTAAAACTATAAAAAAAGTTGCCTGAACAGGAGCAA